GAACTAGATGGGTACTACAAAACGTACTATATTTGGAGTTTACTATTAGCACCTAGTCAAGTACTAAGGAATTGTCAGTTAGTACAATAACCGCAGGTTTGTATTTAAAGCTTACTATACAATCCAGTTTAACGTTTTCCGTAAAGTATGTCCTATTGCGATGATTAAAAGCAATCTAATTTATATGGTAACTAGGAATTACTGAAACAGTTCAATTTGAGACAGAAAAAGCTAATTGAGCACAAATAAACGTATCATATTTGTAATTCGTAATAAGCACACAATCTAGTACAAAATAATCATCAGTTAGTATAAATACTGCACCAATCCACTCTCAGCGTCTTTTTCACTTAAGTCCTCAACTACTGTCTACTAGGCCAGGATATTGCTGATAGTTTTTGAGCGATCGAAATGGAAAATCTCACGTAAAAAACTACTTACAACTACCTGCAATTTTTGATAACAATTGTGGTAGTTCTCTGAATATCAGTATTGTACAGTAGGACTGTTTTAATGTTGGCATTCAAAATTCTGACTTTGGTATTGAACGACAGTTTTGTCGGGTCCCGGATGTTCTTTGGTTGCAGGAATCCCGCCCTCAGCTTTTTAATTCGCGTCTTTATATCTGCATCAGGTTCCCCTCGTTTGTCAGTAATGCTGCCCAGATACTTACAGGCTTTTAACTCCTCGGGAGTTTCGCAATCAGGTATGATTTGTCTGATGCCTTCTGTATTGTACCTTAGGATATTTACCTTGCGGATGCTGAGGCCTTGAATTGAGGAAGCCAACTGCTTACTAGCTGTTTTCACCCGCATCTGTTAGAGTGTGTGCGGTAGAAGATCTAAGTCATTCTCAAACACCAAATTATCCGTCTGGATTCAATCTGTCCATTATATCCTGTATTGTTCCTGAGTTGCACTGATCTTCATAATCCAGTCAACAGCTGAAAGAACAAAGACTTGTATAAGCCGATAGACCTATCACTTAAAGAACGTTTGTGAGCGACCTACTATGCAATACTCTGCAATTCAGTTTCTCAGCAGAGTTCTGTATGACAGTGATAATCACCTCAGTTGTGTCATACCGTCGAAAAAATCCCTTAAAGTTTTTCTATCAACGTTGTTGAATGCTTACTTATGATCAATGAAGTTGTAGTGTGTTGGATTAAACAACGATCGTATCTGACTTGTCTATGATCCATCTAGTCGTTATCCCTATTTTATACTTTGTCTCAAAACCCTCTTCATTAACTACATAACCCGATCATTAACAGAGGACTAGGTCTTAGCGTCAACATAGCAACTTTAATTCGTACAAAGAAATTACTAAAGAACTGTGAAAAACCAAACATTGACAACGATAAAACCTTACAGTAAACGATTTTCACATTATTGATCTAACCTCTAATATGCCCATAAATAAAAACATACCATCGATGCTGTATTCAATGTCCAATGAAAATATTTCTCGTTAAATGTTCATTTAAACAATCATTCTTAGCTGCTTACTTTTGTAGTGACTCACATTTATCACAGGAACACGACTGGTTTAATAAAAACAATTATTATTATAACCAACTGTACCAGTGTTTGTTTTAATGTGCTTTTGTTTGACTGTGCTAATGACAGCTATTTTGTGCTTCCATTCTTATTCTCACACTTTGATTGTGACTTCGCTCGAATTTGGTTACGTTCTGTAACCAAGCTTGTATCGTGGCACGATCTCGGTATCCTTTCGATACCACGAGATCGACAGCAAATATATCTCGACATGGTCCATTAACTGCCTTATGATATTTGGCTTCTCGAGGATTTTATGGATTTCTTTGGTTACGTTCAACCTTCGCCTTCTGATTTATTTGGCATGTGTTTCTTGGTAGTGGTGTTCATAGTTAATCTCAACTCGACACTACGCTACACTTTCATCACTACTTGATATACGCAATCATAACCGTTTTTTTCAAGTCAATTCAATAATCGGAATGCTAAAAATGATGTTTGATTTTAATCTAAGATTATTCAGTATATTTTATTCATCTCGTCCAGACAAATCACTTCATCATTACTTACAGTAAGATACCGAAATCTTAATCATATTTACAAAAAGATAAAAGAATATATAATGAGTTGTCTTCGTTCTTAGATGTTTTGGCGGTATGGATGTTCGAGAGTAAACTTCGTATGATTCATATGACAAATCACCTCATCATTATCTACAGTACAATACAAAGTTTTCAATTTTACATCAAGTCACATTGATAAATAGAGTACCATTCTGGTTACATTCACAAAAACATAAGAGAATATAATGAGCTAGTTTTTTGTTTTGTTTTAAGATGTTTTATCATTAATACCGATGTTTAAGAGAAAATATCAAATTCTTGATAAGATTTTAGTCCGTTCAGTACAAAAGTTCACAGACAGTAAAATATCTTAATTATCTTAAATAATGAAACAGTTTTAGTAGAGTTGGATAATAATTGAATATTGAGAGAATCATGGTCAGTTTTCTAATATTACTACCACATCTACGACTGCGACTACTCCTCCTACCCCTCCTACTCCTACTCCTTCTCCTCCTCCTCCTCCTCTTACTACTACTACTATTACTACAACTACACCTACGACTATTACTACTACTACTACTATTACTACAACTACACCTACGACTATTACTACTACTACTACTATTACTATAAATACACCTACGACTACTACTACTACTACTACTACTATTACTACTAATACACCTAAGACTACTACTACCACTACTACTACTACTACACCTACTACTACACCTACGACTACGACTACTACTAATACACCTACGACTACTACTACCACTACTACTACTACTACTACACCTACTACTACACCTACTACTACACCTACTACTATTACTATAAATACACCTACGACTACTACTACCACTACTACTACTACTACTACACCTACGACTACACCTACGACTACTACTACTACTACTGCACCTACGACTACTACTACTACTACTACTATTACTACTACAGTTACTGGACCTAACTTAAATTGTCAGGAATTGGAGTGTTCGATTTTCATTCGGTATCATTATCCTCAATTATCAGTAGTTAATAATTCCGATCATAATGGTTATAGTTCAAGCTGTATATATCCAGATGAAGTATATAGTGGGAATATCGTTGTGATCTGTAAACGTCAATCGTAAATACATTAGAGTTCTGTTATCATAGTAATAAGTAATTGAGAACAAGTGACATATGTATGTAACAGTGTATTTATGAACGATAATCAGTGTGTCGTGCTCTTGGGGGGTGGGGATCAAGAAAGATTCAAGATGATGCATTTTTGAACATCGATTTTACAGTCACTTATAGTAAATGTACAACTTATGAAAATTAATGAAAGTAATACAAAATAAGTTTGTCCTATCTTCACAATTTTGTAACTCTACGATGATGATATCATCATTTGCAGTTAAATAACGTTGCACTGACGTACGTAATGAAGCAATTGACACGTTATCATATCTATCCACTTTGTGGTCATCAGTTTGCACTTGCTTGAATTAACAACAAAGTAGTAAAAATGTCACTGTGTACTCAGACACTATAATGTATCGATGTTATGTCTTTGAATGAAACAAGTACCGTTAATATGTATGGTACACAACAGCGTAGTTGACTGATGTTACAAATACTGGGAGATACACTTGTATATCTCATATTCACATCTTTTTGATAATGTATTGTTTCCTACTGTAGATGCGCTACTCTGTCTTTCCATATGAATAATAACAAACATTGTGTCATTTCGACCTATGTGTAAGTAAATAGGAGAGATCAATCTGTAACGTTTCATTTCTACTTACTGACACTTGAAACCATCATTTTCTTTCAGTAGGATCAACTTGTCACTTATATTCGTTGTTTAAATTTTTCATTAACATGTGAGTCTATCTCGTACATTTACACATAATAGATAAAATATTTACTGGTAGTGACCGTAGGTTCTCTCGTTCAGTCAGAGACAGTTGCAATCTGTAGTCGTTCTCATGAAACGTTTATCAAAGTATCCTATATTCCTCAATAATTGGACCCTATATATGTACGGAAGGATGAAGAAGGATTGGTTTACTATCGATCTGAATACTGATCTATAATCAAAATGGTACATATGACTACTAATTCAACTAATACTACTAGACACCATAAAGTTTTAAATTTTCGATTATCTGAATAAATAATTCACTTGTCAGCATGAATTCCGATAATTTCATTGTAAGTAATATTCATCATGTTTGAAACGTAAGCATTTGAACAAAATTCGTAGTACTATACGGCCGTTTCATCCTAGTATGAGACCCCTCGACAGTACTCACCCACTATTCTTCACACTGGAATCAGTCCTAGAACCTTAGGGTTAGTGGATGAATGTTTAACTGCTACATAACTGAACCAACATCAAACAGTATTCATGTCTAACATCAACCAATCCACGATAATGCGCGACCATCTTCCATTGATTTCAGTGAGTAACTGTCTCATACCCAAAATGATTGTACTCTATTGTTCACGGATTCCTGAAAGAACTATAAAAACTCTCTCTCGAAGCTTAGTCACTAGTGAGCACATAATAGTGATCTAACTTTGATTGATCTATGATCTCAATGAAACCTAACAATTTTCACAGTCCTAGCATTGAACAATCACAAAAGTGATAGTAGAAACTTACCACCTTCTCAAAACATTCCTGTCTAAACTATTCAGTCTCTAAATTATGCTCAGTACAACTCATTCTACTGAGAGATGAGATAAATTAAGCACAGATATATATGTGTGTATGTTTGTATGCACAATGCATATTGATCATTCATACTGTGTATATTTTACTTCTTATTCAACGAATACAAATTAGTTATTTTCAATCACTTTGACTTAACCAATGGTCATCATTATCTAATGATATAAATACAGAAGAATCGGCAACGATGTTTCATTGAAAATGTGGCCCTTATATTTGTGTCTTATTAATCTGTTATTGGAAGTTATTCAGGCAAGCCAATATGAAAACACGATCTCGGACATATGTAAATACATTTTAGTAAATATATACTGTACAATCAATGTTTTATACTGTTGTATATAAGATGCAGTTCCATATATGCGCTTTAATGGTAGATAATATATCCTAATTAAGACCTTTCTTCTTCAAAATTCAAAATACTTTCGTTTGTACAATTGATTGATCACTAGGTGGTGATCAATGCCATACATGTCAGACCATTTTCAGTGCAGACTGAATCCTATCGATCAGGTTGATATGTGGCCACAAGTCTTAGTGACTTGACATTGTGTGAATTGTGTTGAGATAAGATAGTGGTTGGAGGTAGTCAACAGAAAAGCCTGGACCTAATGTTTCGTGCTATTTTACACTCGTCAGCAAGGTGTACCTGTAATCATGAGGGAACTGATGCTCCCTGACAAATTCGATCCTGTATCATCCAGTTTTACAGTCAGAGATGTTACCACTGAGCTATCGAAGCCGCGACTGGCCTCCTGTAGGACTCAGTGTATTTACAATTGATTGATCATTGGGTGGTGATCAATGTCATATATGTCAGGTCCTTCTTTGTGTAGATGGAATCCTATCGACCAAATTTACATCATGTCATGTATTATACATCATGAAAGTGGTCCAATTCAATGTATTCTGGAAACTTTCATGTATCGTTTAGAAAAAAATTGTTCGGTAACATTATACATTTCTGATTCTTATAACCTTTCTTCTTAATGAATAAAATTACTGACTGTATCCAAGTTATGTATCTATCTAATTCTTATATGAGTATTGATAAGGTAACAACCTCACCAGTCAATCGGTACGTTTTAATTGTATACATAGTAACTAGATGACTAATCAATTGAAATCTTAAACAACAATGGTAAGCTACAAACAAACAACGCCAACTGAATTTAAGCCTTTCACCTCATTGTACAAGCAGGTGGCTATCAGGACTCAGTAGCTAAGTGAATAACGCAATGGCAATTAAGCGAACGGTACTGGATTGGAGTCCCGGAGTAAACAGCAACATTGAGGTACAACTACAAGTCCCAAATAAGACGAAACGCGCGTCATGTATTCTACTGCTACCTACTATCCATCTTTGATTATTTTAAAATGATTTCTTTTTTACAGATAACCAACAGAGAAAGACTGGTCTGTTATTAGTACCGGAAACATACAAAGGTAAGCTATTATTTAGATTTGTTTACATAATTAAACTATCAGTCAGTCATTCAATAACGATGTACAACTTCGTACGTACGTACGTACATCACTTCGAGTTGCCACACCACATTAGCACACAGATGTAGTGGTCGATTAAAATCCCGTAGTGGTAGAGGTAGCAAGAGTATAAGCAGTAATAGGGAAGATTAGGGTTTGGAGATGTTAATTAAAGAGTATAATCCAGTGAAATAAATTTGGAAAGAGAAAAAAGAGACAAGGAGGATTGAGGAGATTAGAATTAGGGAGAACACAAAGAGTGGATACACCTGCGCCATCGCAAACGATTTTGAGCCATGTCATTCAGGGTCTCTAACCAACGGTTGCTATCATCTCGCGGTCCCAACCAGGTAGTCTACACCTACCAACATGACTCAGTTCACTTGTCAGTGACTTCATGGACTTGTGCCATGTTTTGGTCTAGCCGCTCCTACCTTTCTTCCAACCTACTCCTATACCATTGAGCATCGCACGTCGGGGCAGTCGGTGGTTGGGCGTATGTAACACGTGTCCCAGCCATCTCAACTGATCAAGTTTCACTACGTCATCAATTGATTTGCCATCCTTATTAGTACCCGTTTCCTAACAACTGCGTTGCTTACTCGATTGTCCCAGGGTATACGAGGAATGTGTTCGAAGACACCTATGATCGAATACTAGTAACCTACGAATATCCTCTACTCTTACTGGCCATGTTTCACTGCCATAAAGTAGGACGGGACGAACTGCTGCGCAGTAAACACGTCCTTTAGTTGATAGACGGATATCTCGCCTACGCCATAAATGACGCAAGTTGGCAAAAGCTAGTCGAGCCTTCTGTATCCGTGCTGAGATTTCGTCACACACCAGACCACAAGGGCTGATGAGACTTCCAAGATAAGTGAAGCGGTCGACACACTCAACTACTTCACTCCCTATCATTAGTTCGGGTGTCGATGTAACCCAATCCTGAAGCAACATTTTGCATTTCGAGGGAGAGAATCGCATCCCGAACATGATTGCATTGTTGCTTAGAGTGGTCAGAAGACTCTACATTTTGTTAGCGTCTTCACCAAATAAAATTATGTCATCGGCATATTCCAAGTCAATAAGTGAACCTCCTGGTAGAAGCTCAACCCCTGGAAATTTAGATGAGGAAGGTGTTATCTCTAAAAGCCCGTCAACGACAAAGAATGCAGAGAGTGAACAGCCCTGACGAACATAATTAAACTATAACACATTTCTATTCAACACATTTGTTTGTTTGTTTACAATGATATTTTGATATACAGAAAAGTATTTGGCTTAGTTTACCTACATACTAATTGCCATTGTGGTGAACCAAAAATATATCTACTCAAAAATGATAACAAAGTTATTACACCTGTTACTCCTAATGGAGAATAGGCCACTGATCAGTATTCTACAACTCACTCTGTCTTGGGCCTTCATTCCTAGTTCTATCCAATTGTTGTTCATTCTTCTCATGTCTGTCTCCATTTCTAGACTTAATATGTTCTTTGGTCTTCATCTTTTTCTTTGGCCTTCAGGATTCCATATGTGGGCTTACCTTTTGACTCAGTTGGGTGCTTTTCTCAATGTGTATTCTATCCACTTCCAGCGCTTCTTCCATAATTTAGCGTATTAATATATTAAATATACTCAAAAAGGGGTTTAATGTGGATATTATAATAATTTAATAGTTGGGTTCATGAGTCAATTTCGTGGATAAGTTGAAGTTATACATTAACACCATTGGATACCGGCCAGCTCAGTGGTCTAAAAGTTAAGCGTTCATATATGAGAGTGAAGGTCCTGAGTTCGAACACCACAGGGCGGAACCATGGATGTGCACCACTGAGGAGTCTCACACTAGGACAAAACGGCCGTTCAGTGATTCCAGGTTCTCTATCATGGTGTAGTTTCAATTGACTCATTAACTCAATTATGATATTAAATATAATTTATAAACACAAGACCTTACTTGAATTGTCAGAAATTGGCGTGTTCAAGTTTCATTTGGTATCATTATCCACAATTATAAGTCATTATTAATTCCGATCATAATTGTTATAATTCAAGCTGTATACATCCAGATGAAGTATATAATGGGAGTATCACTATGATCTATAAACGTTAATAGTTAAATACATTAGAGTTCTTTTATCACAGCAACAAGTAATTGAGAACAAGTGACATATGTGTGTAATCGTGTATTTATGAACGATAATCAGTGTGTCGTGCTATGGGGGAGGGATTAAAAACGAAGAATAGTAAAGACTCAAGGAGATGTCAATGTAAATTTCATTAAAGTATACACACTATCCACAAAAAGATCATAACAGAATGTATTCAACAGTTTTTGTATATACTCTTCAGTGTATAACAAATGCTAGTTAGAAATATACATTGAGTTATCTCATCATAATGTTTTTTCTAAAGCTCAATATGAACTCACTATTCATTACATTCTAAATAGTTTGTTTTCTTCATTACGTAATCATAGGAACTTTAAAGATGGATGAAGAGAATTTAAGAAATACGAAAAAACAAATTGGAATAGTGACATGTAAGTTCATGCAGGATTTATGATGTCACAAAGCATAAGTGAGGATAATATAGAGTGTTGTACTTGTACTTGTTGTACTTGTTGAAATCATGAGTCAACTGAAGTTAGACCACCATGAAAAACTTGGAAATACTGGACGGCCGTTTCGTCCTAGTATGGGACTCCTCAGCAGTGCGCATCTACGATCCCGCACCTCACTGGATTCGAACTGAGGACCTATCAGTCTGGCGCCATGCGCTTAACCAACTAGACCACTGAGCCGGCATCCAACGGTGTTAATGCCTAACTTCAATCATATTTGCTCATCTCACTAATGAATCTTTAACATACTGTGGTGTGAGATACTTATATCCACATAAGTAGTATACAATGATAGTCGGGAATAGAATGTATTTCAGTAGAAGATCGAGAAGAAAAAAAAACGGGAACGGAAAGTAATTGGTATGAAAATACAGAACGAATGAAATCTGAGACGATGAATTGATATTTACAAAAGGAACAGTCAAGTATGATACCATTGTTATACGTTCTGTAATTTTATATTCAAATATATTCGATTGTCCCCACTCATGTACTTGTTCACTACAATAATACATATTTGTATCAGAAGGGGTTTTGTGACGATTATAGTAATTTCAATGGTTGAGATCATGAGTCAACTGAAGCTAGATCACCATAGAAAACTTGGAAGTACTGGACGGCCGTTTCGTCCTATTGTGAGACTCCTCAGCAGTGCGCATTCACGACATATTTGTTGATTATTTGATAGTTATTTTGTAATTTTGAATTCGCCAACCTGTGACGACCTTGAAACTATCATACATTTTGTACCTCTTTTAATGTTACAAATCGGATACAGGAATTTGATTGAAGACATTTGATCATTATAGCTTCGGAGAGTTCCGAAAGATTGGTATTCGATTGTTTAGAAATGCATGATTTAGATGAAACATTTCAATCAGATTTTGCTTAGGTTACATATATATATGTATAGTCATCTACTCCTGTTACCTCTCGTGGAGGAACATGGGTAGATCACCAACATTCTCCATTCAACCCTGTCCTAAGCAATCCTCTCCAGTTCTTTCCAGTTACTATTCATTCTTATTATGTCTTCTTCCAATTCTCGACACACTGTCTTCTTTCGCATTCTCATTCTCTGTTTCCTTTCACAGTTCAAAGTTAGTACTCACCTCATGATGCAGTTTGATGATTTCCTCAATGTGTTGTCCTATCCACTTCCATCATCTCTTCCTAATTTCCTCATCAGTTGGAAGTTGGTTTGTTCTGTAATACAGTAGGCTGTTGCTGATGGTGTCCGACCATTTGACATTTCGTATCTCATTTAGACAATTGTTCATAAATACCTGTACACTTTGATGGTTGTTGTAATGATTCTCGAAGTTTCAGCTGCATATATTAGTAGAAATGTGTTGATGTTGGTGTTGAAGATTGTGACTTTGATATTGGTTGAGAGTTGTCTTGAGTTCTATATATTCCTCAATTGTAGGAATAGTGTTCTTACTTTGTCAATCCTCACATTTACATCTACATCAGATCTTCCTTGTTGATCGATGATGCTGTTCAGATATGTGAAGGATTCCATCTCTTCCAGAAAGTCTCCATCAAGTATGGTTGTGTAGTATTTGAGGATCTTGTGTTTGTTGAGACGTACTAATGTCTTAAAATGACATATGATTCATATATAATTCGATCCTAATCTTCTGAAATTTATCCAGGCTATTGTGTTCAAACCTCTTCAACTAAATTTATGTATCCAAAATAGAATCAGTAATACATATTTGTTCATCCTGATAACATGACATCATTCATTATTTCAATTGTTCTGATTACATCATCATCATTTTTCTTTAATTCATAAAATTGGCTGGATTCCCAGTCATATCTACAAAAGATTTGAAAGACTTGAGTGTATCCATTTGATGTCATGTATCATGTAAATGTTTTGAGATTAGTTTTACTTAATTACGCCTGTTACCTCTCGTAAAAGAGTATAAGCTGCCCACTATCAGCTGATAACATCAACAACAGCGACCACGAGATTCCGTAACCAGTTTCTATTGTCTAAGATAGATACCTATCCTTCCCTGACATAAATTAACTCCACTAGTCATGTCTTTTCACTAGAACTCCAAGAATCTAGTCACTAGTGAACATAACTAATTGTGGAAATTGTTGAGTTTGTAGTGATCTACTTTTATGAAGAGAATGCGATTGGTTCGTTGGAAACAATTATTATTATTATAACCAATTGTACCAGTGATTGTTTTACTGTACTTGTTTGTTTAACTGTACTAAAGACATTCTTCCTTCCGTTGATTGTGACCTTGCACGAATTCGGTTACACTCAGTAACCACACTTGTACTCCTTTGGCACGATCTCGGTATTCTTTCGATACCACGAGATCGCCAACAAATACATGTTGACTACAACCATCAACTACCTTCTGATATTTGGCTTACGGGGGATGTTATCGGTTAACTGACACGTAGTCTTCCTGTGGTGGTGATCATAGTCAACTGCGACTCGACGCCACACTACAAGTTCTTGATCGAGATCACAAATATTGATAATAATAATAATAATAATAATAATAATAATAATAAAAATAATAATAATAATAACAAGATCAATTCAGTTATGCAGTTTCATAACAACATTCTATCATGGTTATCTAACAACATACCTTCCATTTGTTTAACATTATTATCGTTATCAATTTTTTCTTTAATTCATAAAATTGGCTGGATTCCGATTCATATATTGATTATGTTGTAGCGTGGCGTCGAGTTGAGACTAACTGTGAACACCGTTACCAAGAAACACGTGCCAGATAAATCAGAAGGCGAGGATCGAACGTAACCAGATTTATTTCATTGGCGATCTCGTGGTATTGAACGAATACCGAGATCGTGCCAAGAAATGGTACAAGTGAAAGCAGAAGACAGGAGTATGTGCGAACAGTACCAAAAACCGCGGAACAATGATGGAAGGTAATGGAAGCACAAAATGGCTATAATTAGCACAGTTAAACAAAAGCACATTAAAACAAACACTGGTACAGTTGGTTATAATAATAATTGTTTTTATTAAACCAGTCGTGTTCTCGTGATAAACGTGAGTCACTACAGGAGCCCTCCGCTAGAAAGGGTTCACACTTTCGATAAATAGCGGTTTGAATCGTGGGACTGATCGGCTGACGAGCGATTGTAGGACGGAAGAATTGGCGAACAGGAAAGCGATCGTTGATCGTCGAGTTGCCAGCGAAGGTCGTTTTCGGAGAACGGTACCAGGAGGGATGTGTTGTATTTATTGCTTGAGTTGGCATGCTACACCAGAGTGGTTTGTATCCAGAATCTGAAGAGGGCGTTCGTACAGGTCCGGACCATAAACGCTGCAGACGAAGGACGAAACCACGTTGAGCCAAAAGACCAGAAGTGACCGTAACGACCAAGTTCAAGACCAAGCGTATGCCAAGCTTTCGAAACGAATATATCGACTGAGTGCGTTGACAAGAGCATGGGTGATCAGGCCAGCTTTCGCCAAAGTTGACTGAAGTAGACGGAACCAAACGGAGATGGTCGAAGGCGTGGGCTCAGGAAACAAAAGGAAAGGCAATAAAGAGAAGAGTGTAGCATGCGTGTAGTATAGGAATAATCCTAATCGGTTGTTAACTGTGTGGCTAGTCGCGGAAACGTACGGGCAACCGTACTCGGCGACCGGAACGTGAGACGGCTGTCTCGTTCATATCTCGTGAGCCTGCAATCTCATCCGAGGTCAGAGGCGGCGTGGTCTGTTGATCTGGACGTGAGACTGTCGTCTCGTCCGTAGACGGTGCGGATGACGCGTGCTGTTGACTGGGACGTGAGAATGAGATCTCAGATGTATCTAGCGTGGAATCTGAAGAAGATTTAAGGATCCCTTTAGGTTTGATAGGTCTAGCATTGAATCTCAGGGTATCAGATAGGACAATGTCATGGACATGTGCTGGTTTGAGACGATCAATGCTGACGATCTGGACGCGGCCATGTCGATCAACCTTGAAAATCTTTTCGTGACGAGCGATCACGTGAAAAGAGCCTTAGTAAGGTTTTTGCCAAGGTTTGCGTACCGAATCTACTCGTATGAAAACACGTGTACAGGTAGATAACTCTCGAGGGAGAGCGACCTGTCGATGTTGTATTCGAGTTGACACTGGAGACAGCGTTCGCATAAATGCAGACAGTCGATGGACGTAGTCTGATTTACCGAAATTAGGTCTGCTCCGTGGTGTGAAGAATTCTCCGGGCAGATGCAATTTCGTGCCGTATACAAGTTCAGTGGCGGAACATTGGATATCTGCCTTTAAGCTCGTTCTCACCCCTAAAAGAACGAGCGGTAAGGTTTCGTGCCAGTTGCCGTTTTCGTGTGCTCGTGAAACACTTTTAAGTTGGCAGTGAAACCGTTCAACTTAACTATTTGGTGCTGGGTGGTAGACGGATATGCTTATGCGTATGCATTCCGTACCAAGCAGCCGGGTCAGCGAGGAGAATCGTTAATAGGGTAACATTTCTCGAATAAAGCGTGGAATTCATCATCACGCGAATAAAAAGTGACAAGGATTCGGTACACATACGTGTGAGTCTATTATATTAATACTATTCTTATCGTTATCCGTCATGTCGCGTATATTATATATTAAAAATATGAAAATATACGACAGACGTGGATAGATAAATCATAGACTCACCGAATTGGCTTCTTTGGAAGATTTGATCAGAAGTTGAGGCGTGTTCCAAACTTTGGGATCACCAATTGTAGCGTGGCGTCGAGTTGAGACTAACTGTGAACACCGTTACCAAGAAACACGTGCCAGATAAATCAGAAGGCGAGGATCGAACGTAACCAGATTTATTTCATTGGCGATCTCGTGGTATTGAACGAATACCGAGATCGTGCCAAGAAATGGTACAAGTGAAAGCAGAAGACAGGAGTACGTGCGAACAGTACCAAAAACCGCGGAACAATGATGGAAGGTAATGGAAGCACAAAATGGCTATAATTAGCACAGTTAAACAAAAGCACGTTAAAACAAACACTGGTACAGTTGGTTATAATAATAATTGTTTTTATTAAACCAGTCGTGTTCTCGTGATAAACGTGAGTCGTAGTAGTAGTAGGTGTAGTTGTAGTAGTAGTAGTAGGTGTAGTAGTAGTAGTAGTAGTAGTAGTAGTAGTAGTCGTAGGTGTAGTAGTAACAGTAGTAGTAGTAGTAGGAGGAGGAGGAGGAGGAGGAGGAGAAAGAGGAGGAGTAGGAGTAGGAGGAGTAGTCGCAGTCGTAGATGTAGTAGTAATATTAGAAGCCTGACCATGATTCTTTCAATATTCAATTATTATCCAACTCTACATATATCTTCATTTCTAATTCACTTTCACATTTGTAATGAGGTCAATATTTGTAATAATAATACAGTTTATAATCTATTTCAAATGATAAACAGTTAATGAGAAGATAATCAATGATGATGATGATGATGATCAGTGCCAAATAGTACGAAACTCGAATTCAGGGTTTGTTGTTCACTACCTTCAACTACCATCTTATCACAACATATTGTACTCAATATCAAGTCATCTAGACTAATGTCCATATAGCGAATTGGTCGATAGGATTCGATCTACACTAAGAAGGACTTGACATATATGACATTGATCACCACCAAATGATTAATCAATTGTAAATACATCTCAGTTCTATAAGAGGTCAGTTGCGGTCCGGATAGCTCAATGGCAACGGCACTGATTGTGAAACTAGGTAAGATGGGATTGAATCTGTTAGGGAGCATCAGTCCTTTCAAGAATAATACAGATCAGCTTGCTGACGAGTGTCAAGTAACACGAAACCTAGGTTTAGGCATTCCTGTTAACTATCTCCAATCATCATCTTATCTCAACATAGTGTACGCAATATGGAGTTACCTATGTAGTGGACAAGAACACAAGTGGGGCCAAACAAATGTATTTGAATACAAAATTACAGAATATCTTATTGAAATCTGAGAACCATATAGTGAATACTTCATTTCTAAAATGTTAGTCAATCGTCTCACAATTCATTGTTCCTGCATTTTCATACCAATTGTTTTCTGTCCCTGTTCTTTCTTCCATGATCTTTTGTTGCAGATATTCTAATCTTGACTATTGTTATATATTACTCATATTGATATAAGTAGCGCACACCACAACCTAGACTAGCTGCCACATTACAACTCGATCGATAGAATTCAATCTGCACCACCCAGTGATCAATCAATCAATCATAAATCAACCTTCGTTTTTGCCCTCTCACTCACTCAGGTACACCTTGTTGACAAGTGCCAAATAGCACGAAACCCGGATCCAGGGTTACCTGTTAACTACCTCCAACCACTATCTGATCTCAACATAGTTTGAGCAATGTCAAGTCACTTAAACTAGTGACCACATTGCAACTTGATCGATAGCATTCCATCTGCACTAAGATGGACTTGACACATATGACATTGAACAACACCCAGTGATCAATCAATTGTGATCACTCCCTCTCTCTCTCTTTCTCGTTTTTTTTTCTGTAAACATTTTTTTAATGGCATAGTAACAAATTCATAAAATTGTTTGTTTATTTTTTTATATAGATGAAATCAATGAAGAACTTTCAGTGAAATCACTATCAATTAATCAATGTATGATCATGACATAATAGACTATAAACATTCAAATTATTCTAGATGTCGATTGTGAGGAAAAAGTTTTAGAAGTTGATAACGGTATTAAGCAAATGCAAGGTATGTTATTAGATAATTATGATAGAATATTGAATTGATCTTGTTGTTGTTGTTGTTGTTCTTCTTCTTATTATTATTATTCGTGATCTCGATCAAGAACTCGACAGGTTCCACAACTTCATCTGATCACTAGTGACTAGATTCTTGGAGTTCTAGTGAAAAGACATGACCAGTGGAGATAATCCGCGTGGAGTGTGAGGTAGCAGTTAGTCATGGAAGACAATGTGAAGTGGTTGGATAATATCGTGGATTGGTTAAAGTGAGATATTAAGAGCGTCGGATAACATCTTAGTGGTCTAGGAGTTGGTTATTCGTGCATCCGACCTAAGGTGTTGAATTCGAATGCCTTCTGCCAACAACACCCCTCCCCCACTTTTATTATACTAATCATGTTTGTGCGTAGTATGTTTCGACACAACTAGCACATAATCTATCACTACCAGGCATCAAATTGATCGATTGATGATCTGAATGATGAAAATAGTCGACAATCTCCACAGCCCTATACTGATAATTATTATGATGTACTGGCTGACGACTAGTGACTACCTTGGAGAGGTGAATCTCGGAGTTGTTGTGATAAGCCATCACTAGTGGAGCTGATCCATGTTGAAGAAGGATAAGTATCAATCTCAGACAATGGAAAATGGTTGCAGAATTTCGTGGTTTGATTGAAATTAGACATTAACACTCTTGGATGCCAGCTTAGTGGTCTAGAGTTTATACGTTCACACGCGAGATCGAACATCTTTTGTTTGAATCTTACATGCAGAATTGTGGTTGAGTACTGTTCATGAGTCCCACAATAGAACGAAAAGGCAGTCCAATGGTCCCAGGTTTTCAATGGTAGTCAAACATTCATGGATTCGTGATCGTAATAAAAAAATAACCATCTCCACAAACCCACATTGATTAATATTATTAGTAGTAGTAGTGTAGTGAACAAGAACACGGGTGGGGACAATCGGATGTACCTAACACAATCATCACAGACTATCTCAATAAAATCTGAATACCATATAGTGAATTATCAATTTGCACAATATTCATGCATCATATCAATCTGGACTGTTTCTGTTGCAAACACCAATCCATTGTCTCCCATTCCATTGTCCATACGTTTTCTTACAAATTCCATTGTGTTCTCGCTCTTCCTTTCTCGATCTTCCCTATTTTCTGCTGCCAGACATCACGTTCTTTTAACTCACGTTATATACTACTCATATCAATATAAGTAGCTCACACCACAGTGGTACTACTAATGGTTTTATTCGATACTACATGTTCGTTACAAAAAAAACAGAATTCTCAGCACAAACTGTTTCAACAATTTTCTTTTCCAAACTAAAATTTAGAGAGAAAAAACTAATAACTATATACAAATATACATAATACCAGAAGGGGTTTTTGTGGATATTATAGCAATTTTAATAGTTGAAATCATGAGTCAATTGAAGCTAAACCAACATGAAAAACCTGGAAGCACTGGACGGCCATTTCTTCTTAGTATAGAACGCTCCAGCAGTGCGCATCCACGATCCCGCCTCCGAAATTCGAACTCAAGACTTATCAGGCAAGAATGCCTAACTACTGGACCACTGAGTCGGTCAGTGTTAATATCTAACTTCAACGAATCCACAAAATTGAACGATACATCCATCATTGTCATCAGTGAGTTATAATCTCACAACAGACCTTGTTGAACTTCATTGATTACTGCTTCTCACTAGAACTAAATTCAATAAATAAACTACCTAGAATCAAATGATATGTTTACTTTATCAAATAAGCAAAGATGGATAGTGGCTAGCAGTGGAATCCAGGACGCGCGTTTCGTCCTGTTTGGGACTGGTCAGCTGGATGTACCTGCATCTCAGAGTTGGTGTTCACTCTGGGACTCGAACTCAGTACCACTCGCTTCAAACGCCATCGCGTTATCCACTTAGCTACTGAGTCCTGAGTTCGAGTCCCAGAGTGAACATCAACTCGGAGATGCAGGTACATCCAGCTGACGAGTCCCAAACAGGACGAAACGCGCGTCCTGGATTCCACTGCTAGCCACTATCCATCTTTGCTTATACTGCTTGTAAATTAAGGCAATATCGAGGCATACGCACAGTATGCACATATTCCAATAAGATACTGATCAATTTCAGTCCTAAAACATCAATCGGAAGATTCAAGCAAAACAATATCAAGTGAATTTATCAAAGAAGATTTAAATCCGTACGACTAGTTTAATTAGAAACATGTTTATGAATACAATTTATTGACTAAGTCAACTCGAACAAGTCATTCGTCACAGAGTATATTTTCTAGATAAGGTATTATAGAGTTTTCAATACATTTACTTATCCTCATGGATTCTAATGTATTGACGTCTTGTACTACCAGAGGATATAGAAAGAGAAAAATATGAATGAAGTGAATGGTTAGGTATGATGATTAGGAGTATTTGGATTATAGTATGAACTAAGAATCCCAGAAATAACGTAATTGGATCAAGAAGTACTAGATAAGCATGAACGAATGTACTGTATTTGGAATTCGAAATCAAGCATTCAACAAGTACAAAGAAATCATTAGTTCATTCAAACACCACATTAGGATCTGATAAGATAACATCTGCTTAGAGTTTGAAACATTTCAAATGTCTATCAACAATCAATGTTATAATGATCTGAAAACATTCACTTTACACTTTACTCATTAACTGCCTTTGTAGTGAACAAGAACACCAGTGGGGACAATCGAATGTATTTGATACGAAATTACAGAGCATCTCACTAAAATCCGAGAACCATATAGCAAATACATAGTAATGGAAAGATACAAGTAAAACAACACCAATTGAATTTAAACTTCACCCCATTGCACAAGCAGGTGGCTATCAGGACTCAGTAGCCAAGTGGATAACACGATGGCGTTTGAAGCGAACGGTACTGGGGTCGAGTCCCGGAGTGAACATCAACTCTTAGATGCAGATACATCCAGGTTACGAGTCCCAAATAGGACGCAATGTGAGTCTGGGATTGCACTGCAAGCCACTATTCATCTTTGCCTATATAGCTTGTGACTTAAGACTATATCGAAGCAATCCGCACAGGATGCATATATGTCGACATGAGACTGATCAATTACAGTCCTAAATAACAATGGAAAAATACAATTATAACAACTTCTATTGAATTTACATATAATAAATAGTTAATTTGCAAAATATCAATCCATCGTCTCAAACTTGGCTGTTCCTTTTGTAAATATCAGTCCATTGTCTCAGATTTCATTGTTCATGCATTTTCATACCAACTGTGTTCCGCTTTCGTTCTTTCCTTATCGATCTTCTGCTGAAATACATTATATGTCTGACCACCGTTATATACTACTTATATGGATATAAGTAACCCACACTACACCTTGACTCATTGGACAACTCTGAAGGAATTTTCGGAGCTATTCATTGCAGCTATGATTTCTATGTGGATATGTATCGACATAAATGTATAATATTTCTCTTAGTTGTTGTGATATATCTATGGAATAAGACATCTATGCAGTAATATTGAATATAACTTATGTATGACATAAACAATCGAGTATGTTTCATTTGTTTAACTCTTTCGTTTAGATTTCATACATACGATGGATAATATCGAAAGAAGATATCGTAAGTATCGGTATGAGGTTGTGGAGATTGTTGAGTTTTTCAGTGAGATCATGAACCGATTGAAGTTAGACTACCATTAACTCAATGGTCAAGAGGATAAGCGTTCTCGTGTGAGACCGAAGATCCTGGGTTTGAATCCCAAGAGCAAAATCGTAAACGTGTACTATCCAAGAGTCTCACAATAGGACGAAACGATCATCCAGTGCTTCCAGGTTTTAAATCGTGTTCGAACATCAATCGGTTCATGATCTCAATCAAGAACATATTTTAAGTGCTTGTAATAATTTGTTTAATTAATAAAATCATGAACACTAGACATACTAACAGTTTTCGATGGAATAAAGCTTATCATCTTATCATGTATATAATGCGTTATGTTAATGTAGTGAACGAGAACACAAATGGGGACAATCGAATGTATGTGAATATAAAATTACCCAACATCTTAGTAAAATCTAAGAACCATACAGTAAATGCATCATTTGCCAAATGTCAAGCAATCATCTCAGACTTCAATGTTCGTTCGTTTCTATACGAATAGCTTTCTGTTTCCATTCTTTCCTACTCGATCACCTTGACCTTCTGCTGCCAGACATTTTATTCCTGACTAGCGTCATTTGCTACTTATGTCGATATGAGTAGTAAACACCACACCACCGAGCACCTCAGTTACGGGACCGCATCGTCGTCTGCAGTACAGCACCCTTTCCCCCTCCTGGTTGACAGTGAAACCAAATTTAGTGAACGAGAACACAAGTGGGGACAATCAAATGTATTTGAGTATAAAATTACATAACATATTAGTAAAATCCGAGAACCATACAGTAAATAATTCATGTGCAATATCTTAATCAATCGGTCACAGACTTTATTGTTCTTTCGTTGCCACATCAATCGTTCTCTGTTCTCATTCACTTTTCTTCGATCTTCTTAACCTTCTGCTTCCAAGCATTTCACTCTCTATTGATGATATATATTACTTATATCTGTTGACATCAGAAGCACATACCAGAGCAGAACTATCGAACAGATGATACAGATAATACAATAAATTCTTTAGAGTTAATACTATTCTTTCATAATTTATAAATGTGGTTCTTTCATCATCATCATCATCATCATCATCATCATCATCATCATCATCATCATCATCATCATCATCATCATCATCATCATCATCATCATCATCATCATCATCATCATCATCATCATCTTCTTCTTCTTCTTCTTCTTCTTCTTCTTCTTCTTCTTGTTCACAATAGCTTTATTCCATTTTATTTACATTATATAGATGTAGTGAATTCGAAAGCACCCGAATGGAAAAAGTGTTATCGGAAACAATTAAGAATTTATCGTCGTAAGATTAAACATATCAATCTGTTCTATTGTATTATTTATTCTTTATAGTTATTCTTCAGGTCTAAATGAAATACAAAATGTTTTGCTTATATTCTATCGTTCATTGTTACTCATTATTTGGTCTATTATGATGATCAACTGATAGTATATTCACTAATCTAAGTGAATCAGTATTGAATACACTATGCTATGATACTAGATGATTAAAGATAGTGAGTTGGATATTGTAGATTTAAGTTTTTTATTATATGACAGTTGACAAAAATCTATATCTACAATATGGATATTCGAACTATGATCACATCTGAATGTCAGGTAGTCAGTCAGCTACAACGTAGGATCAGGCACATATATGCATTGATCCAAGTTACCACACCTCATCGGCACAACAAGATGAACACCAGATTCGTGAGAGTAGTTAATTCAATATTAATAATATATAAAATAAAGATCGCATATACGGATGTAGTACATGAAGAAAGAATTAGTTGGTAGAAAGAGGGATATGAAGCAATTTTAATCTCATAATTTAAGAGAAGACAGAGTGTCCACACCTATACCATTGCGATCGATTCTGAGTAATGTCACACACAGTCTCCAAACATTGGTTACGATAGTCAAGCGTAGCCCAACCAAGTAGTCTGCAGTTACCAACATGGCGCAGACTAGAAGTTGATTACTTCAAGCACTGATGCCACATTTTGGTTTGGCCACCCCTAACTTTCTTCCAACCATCCCCAACACTAGTCAGCACTGTGCGTAGTGGTAATCAATGTTCAGACACACACAACACGTGGCTCAACCATCTCAGTCGATAAAGATTCACAACCTCATCAACTGATTTACCATCATTCCCTAATACTCAGTAACTAAGTGGATAACGCGATGGCGTGTGAAGCGAATGGTACTGGGTTCGACTCCCGAAGCGAACATCAACTCTGAGATGCATATACATCCGGCCGACGAGTCCCAAATGGAATGAAACGCGCGTCCTGGATTCCACTGCTAGCCACTATCCATCTTTGCTCAGTACTTAATTTACCTACTCTTATTACTCCCGATGGAGCATAGGTCACCGACCAGCATTCTCCAACCCACTTTGTCCTGAGGCTTCCTTTCAAGTTCTATCCAATTGTTGTTCATTCTCTTCATGTTTTTCTCCAATTCTCGATGTAATATGTTCTTTGATCTTCCACACACAATAACACCAAATGATGTAAATATTCTCAAGAATTCATATAATTTAACTACTTATGATGGAATCAATAAGTAATATACCAGCTATCATGTACGATATTTATTTCATTAAGATAAACAATTAAGTATGATATAGTAACTTGTCAAATTAATAATTTACAATTCTTTCTCATATCTCAATAGGTAAGTTGCCTGAAGTTAAAAAGAGAAGGTGCAATTCATATCTAAAGTCTGGTCGAAAAGGTAACTTGGATTAAATTATACTGTTACTACACTTGATATTGTTTTATTTGAATCTTCCCATTGATGTTTTAGGACTGAAATTGATCAGTATCTTATTGGAATATGTGCATACTGTGCGTATGCCTCGATATTGCCTTAATTTACAAGCAGTATAAGCAAAGATGGATAGTGGCTAGCAGTGGAATCCAGGACGCGCGTTTCGTCCTGTTTGGGACTCGTCAGCTGGATGTACCTGCATCTCCGAGTTGATGTTCACTCTGGGACTCGAACTCAGGACTCAGTAGCTGAGTGGATAACGCGATGGCGTTTGAAGCGAGTGGTACTGAGTTCGAGTCCCAGAGTGAACACCAACTCTGAGATGCAGGTACATCCAGCTGACCAGTCCCAAACAGGACGAAACGCGCGTCCTGGATTCCACTGCTAGCCACTATCCATCTTTGCTTATTATACTGTTGCTGTTAGAAATGCATGATTTAGATAAAACATTTCAACCAGATTTTGTTTGTGTTATATATATGTATATATATATATATATATATATATATATATACTTATTTATTCCTGTTACCTCTCGTGGAGGAACATAGGTAGATCACCAACATTCTCCATTCAACCCTGTCCTACGCAGTCCTTTCCAGATCTTTCCAGTTACTACTCATTCTCCTTATGTCTTCTTCCAATTCTCGACACACTGTCTTCTTTCGCATTCTCATTTTATGTTTCCTTTCACAATTCAAAGTTAGTACTCGCTTCATCATGCAATTTGATAATTTCCTTAATCTGTTGTTCTATCCACTTCCATCATCTCTTCCTAATTTTCTCATCAGTTGGAAGTTGGTTTGTTCTGTAATACAGTAGGCTGTTGCTGATGGTGTCCGACCAACGGACATTTCGTATCTCATTTAGACAATTGTTCATAAATACTTGTACACTTTGATGGTGGTTGTGATGGTTCGCGAAGTTTCAGCTGCATATATTAGTAGAAATGTGTTGATGTTGGTGTTGAAGATTGTGACTTTGATATTGGTTGAGAGTTGTCTTGAGTTCTATATATTCCTCAATTGTAGGAATAGTGTTCTTACTTTGTCAATCCTCACATTTACATCTGCATCAGATCGTCCTTGTTGATCGATAATGCTGTTAAGATATGTGAAGGATTTCATCTCTTCCAGAATGTCTCCACCAAGTGTAATTGTGTTGTATTTCAAGATCTTGCTTTTTCCCTCGGTTATGGTGAGGCTTACCGATGCAAAGACGCGCTACACTAGAGACCTTACGCCTAACTCAATGGTTTCCCAGTCCTGATAAGTCTCAGACATTGAACCCTCGACTTTCCACTTTTCGAGTGCACCCTGTTCACACTGAACTCGAAAAATTGGCTACCTTGTTGCAGTCTAGTCAATTTTGCTATAAAGGGGATATATATACATATTTATGATTCGTTTCTTAGAATATCATATCGCATCAGTAAGAACTGAATTAGCCTTTCTTTGTGTTTCTCAAACACAATGATGCATAAAAGTTTAACTTACATCATTCAGATTATAGGTTATAAAACATTGAGAATGAATAGTTTGTTTTATGTATTGAAACATCATTAAAGATACTAGGAATTGATATAAGAAGGGTTTTTGTGGATATTATAGTAAATTCAATGGTTTAGATTATGATTCAACTGAAGCTAGACTATCATGGAAAACCTGGAATTAATGGAGGGCCGTTTCATCCTATTGTTGGAATCCTCAGCAATCTGCATCTACAATCCCGCCTCGCTAGTTTCGAACCCAGGACCTATCAGTCTTGAGCGACACATCCACCATTGTCTTCAGCGAGTTACTAGCTCACAAAAGTCCCGGTTGAACTCCACTGGTAGCTGCTGAGAATTGATCATATTTCGGCCCTTCACGTAAAATCAATTCACGAATAAGTATATTTGATCTAATGAACAAGAAACTTATTCATTTCTTAGTTACATAGTAAGTAAATTGTACTATTAGTCTTCCATTTTTTAATAAATACTCTGCCATTGTCAACTATTACAGACAAAAATATCTGGAAGGAAGTAATCCTTGAAATGAATTACAGTTGATGTTCGAATTCTGTGCGTTGATTGTTATGTAATATGCAAGATACTGGAGAACAACACTGATGTGAATAACACCATTGTGAGATAGTAATTCATTAAAGACAATGGTTGATGTGTTTCGTCAATTTCGTGGATTGGTTAAAGTCAGACATTAGCACTACTGGATACCGACCGGCTCAGTGGTCAAAAGGTTAAGGGTTCGTGCGCGAAGCTGATAAGTTCTGAGTTCGAATCTCGTGGGGTGGGATCGTGTCTGCGCACTCATGAGGAGTTCCTCAATAGGACGAAACGTTTGTCCACTGCTTGCAAGTTTTCCATGTTGGTCTAGCTTCAAATGACTCATAATATCAACTATTGAAATTACTACAATCTCCACAGAACCCCTCTATGATAATAACACTGACATTTGTCCGTTTATTTACATTGAATAAATTGCTTATTTTTTCAGCTGTTATCGATCTTACGAGCCTAATGAAATCACAACGCACCTACATTAATCAATATAATACCGATTTGTGTAAGTAACTAGAATTTTTAGTGAGACTATGATTTATGAACGAACCAATGAAATTTGAGATAACAGGTCTTTGATTTTGCCGCAGAATTCGTTCATCCATTTGGCTAAATAGAGTCTTGACATTATAGTTGATGTTAATTCGTGATGGAAACCCTAAATCTAGTCCTTAACCCTAACCATCAACTGTAAATCATAATCTTCATTCTCCACACAGGTTTATAACACTTATTTAACCCTAGTAAGTAGGTGGACATCCCCAAGGTCACTTTAATGTCACTCAAATGTCATTCATAAATTATGGTCTCACCGGCTTTTTTATTCAGTAATAGTGTTTTTGAAAACTTATGAATGTAACTTAACGATATGAATAAGAAAGATACAATATCATGAACTTGGAACGTCAACTATAGCCATTAGTTGACTAGTTAATTAATAGACTGGCTGAATGATTGACTAGGCCAAGCAGGAAGAGACTTTCTGATCTCTTAAGATGTGAATTTGTCTTTGAAAAGCTGAATACTTGCAATGTCGGTTACTATGTTCAGCCTATTTACCTTATTCTAGCTTATGGATAGGCTAATTTATCCATTCTGCTTGAGTCATGTTTTGACCTTGTTAGTTATTCGCTTATCAACCTTGACTGTTTTCATATGAGCGCATGTGTGTGCATTTCTTATCCCATTTATCACATGTCTGCAGCTCAATTTTGTGTGACTTTAAATATTGATTAACGCTTGGTTGAATGGGTTGGCTCATATGCCATCTTCACCGCGCGCCATTTTGTTTCACTTCGCTCCCTATTCTTCGTTTCATTCTCTGCGATTCTCTGATCAACGAGTGTACAAAATATACATCCTCAAACATCCATTCTCGTATCTGGCTTATTTGATTCCGTTATACAATAAAGCGATTTAAGTCGACAATTATATACGGTATGTATAAGTCGGATGTTCGTGGGCCAATAAATGATTACACTAGAAAGTATATATCACTCTATTAGTAAATTGATAAAAATTTCAAATGTTCAGTCATTGCAACTATTGAGTATGCTGATTAAACGAGGATAGACGATATATATATAGATATATATATATAGTTCGACAGGAATAATTCATACGACCTAATTGGGATCAGATCCAGGACTGCTCTAATGATGTGTCCGTCGACAGCATCATCAGATCTAATTTATGTCAAAATAAATAGTCCCACTAAAGACTAACCATGTCAAAAACTTTGGGAACGTCAAAATATAGCACCAAAATCGATCTGTATTTAACCGAGTCCATTAAACACCAGATTAAAACAAAGTCACAGATTATGCAAAATCTAGTTTCAAACGAGCCGCGTTGGTAATCCTTGATAAGTTAGTTCATAAGAAGTAAATAGTTGGTAAGTTCATCAGTAATTTTTTCCTATTTTCTCAGAGATAACTGCAGAAATATTTATGGATGGATAATTGTTCATGTCAGTTTTACCTACAGAGTTTTACCGTGGTATGATGTAAGCGGTTTCCTATCATGAAGAATAGTATCTTATAACCATTAGATATTCATTAAAATTTTATATACTTTTCCTTGTTCTATTTTATTATTGTAGTAGCACATCAGTTTCTTTTAGAAGCTATCAATGAGATTTACATTTCACGAGAAACAAGTAAGTCGTGATATGAATACGTTCCATTGGATCTTAACATATTTACTCACAGTTTCTTCAATTAATGTTATATTTCTGAAAGATACCCCATTACATGTATATCAGGCTAGTATCAATTGAATAGTATGATATGCATATATAACATTGAAATAGTGAACCGATTTGAACTACACCACCATTGAAAAACTAGAACCGATGGACGGCTGTTTCATCCTAGTATGAGACTTTTGAGCAGTACGCATTCACAACGCCCCAACAAGTAAGACTCGAACCCAGTACCTTCAGTCTCACACTTTGAACAGTCCCATATGAAGAGCCGATGCCCATCTAGTGCTCCCAGGTTTCTAACAGTGGTCAATTTTCATGAAATTCAACGATCTTTACAATCTCATGCTGAATGATCAATAACGTAAGGAAAATACCGTCTCCAAAAAATCGTCAATATGTAACTTGGTTAAATCATATTCAACACAGTATCTTATGAATACACAATGACTTAATGGATGTAATACATATGAATGTATATTGTTGAATATGTTACTTATAACTAAGTGCTTAATTCATGTATTCACCCCGGAGATATACAACTTGACCAGTTCAATTTTAATTAGAAGCATTCTAAGTGAAACTATAATTTATGGACAACCTTTGAACGAATCTTAAATGACTTTCAGAAGTATTAGCCAATTGGAAAAAAGTTAGTGTGGAGTAAAAATATATTATACGAGACCAGAGAGTTAAAGTGGATACACTTCATTTCAGTGGTTCAAAAATTTTTCAAGATTAGAAAGTTGTTCAGAGGTTCTGAAATCATAATGCATACGGTAGAAGATATCATCCATATAGGCTCTATAATAATCGGCCTCTGAAGCCATGACAAGGTCGTAAAAACTCTTTCAGCCTCGATTACATGGCTTCAATATTGTTTGTGTGCACCCCGGTTGTCGGATCCATGAAGTGCCGCTTGCAGATAACGACATGATTCACATAATCAAGTCTATGTAAGCGTCTGTGCGCTCTCCAATCAATCGTATATAATGTAGTAACAGACTGCAGCCAGTGTTACTGGTGCTTTTATTATCCAGTTCTCAACAATTGTCATAATTTGCCTTAGTCTCAATCTGAATCGAGTGAAAAAGTTCCTATTCTAGTAGGCTTCTTCCTCCAACACATTCCATCGAAAGACAACATCATCACGATAGTCTGCATAATGTCCACAAATCATTCGATTATCACAATTACAAATAGAGGAATTTCTTAGTAGTCCCATTTGGTTGTAGTCGCTCAATTATCTCTTTTTCCCTACAATCCTCTGTGTACCAATCGTACGTGAGCATCGGTTGCTGAAATTGGTGCTGCGACCTTGAAACCCCTCAAACGCTTCTCATTGGCTCATCCATAGATTATAGCCTCACCGAATTTCTATGATTACTGCGTTCAAACCTATATCTTTTGTTTGAATTCTAGGTTATCCATCTCTAGTTGATGCATTCAAAAGATAAATAATGAACATGTATTTTCTTTTCATCGTATCGTTTATAACTTGTAATATGTAACCATTTTTCTTAATCATCAAATTGATTTCTTGTTATTTTAATAAATAAATGCTTGTCATTACTTTGTTGGTCTTAATTAAAACATTGATGTGAAATAGGATAATCCTAGTTGATATCAAATATTGTTGATAAGTCATATTATGATGAATAGTGTTTCAAAACACAATAGTAGACCTGTTGCAATGATTCTAGTGTCACCGTTTAGTCTTTTGAATGTTTCACTGTTATGTGTACGTAGTATTTTGGTGTGTGCTACTTATATCGACATAAGCAGTATATAACCGCTAGTCAGGAATGGAATATCTTGCAGCAGAAGATCAAGAAGGAGAGAACGGGAACAGAAAGCCATTGGTATGGAAATGCAGGAACAATGAAGTCTGAGACGATTGATTGACATTTTGCAAATGAAATATGTACTCTATGGATCTTATATTTTATTAAGGTGCTCTGTAATTTTGTGTTCAGATACATTCCATTGTCCCTATTTGTGTTCTCGTTCACTGTAATTATGACTGAATAGGTAGATTATTAGGCAATGATGAAATGCTATTGATAATGAGATATACAAAATACAATGTAACTATTCAGTTATCTGAAATAATATCATTAACAATCGAATTGTATAGTAGCTGATATTTACTTATAGTTTACATTGTATACTATTTATGGTTTATGAAAAATATCCCAAATAGAGTAGAATATCTATCATACTAATAAATCTATCAAGTCATTAGGCTGTCACGAACCATAGGCCAACAAAAAAATCAGATATCAAGAGTACAACTAAGAGTAATGAATACTAGTAGAATGGTAGTAGTGAGAATGTTAGACGTAGTAGCAGTAGTAGTATAAGAAAGACAGAATTTTCAGTATACATTTATATATAAGATGGTGGTTGGAGGTAGTCAACAGAAAAGCCTTGACCTAATGTTTCGTGCTATTTTGCACTCGTCAGCAAGATATACCGGTAATCTTAAGGGAACTGATGCTCCCTGACAAATTCGATCCTGTATCACCCAATTTCACAGTCAGAGACGTTACCACTGAGCTATGCAAGCGTCGACTGGCCTCCTGTAGGACTCAGTTGAATTCAAAATTGGTTGATCACTAGTTGGTGATCAATGTAGATCGAATCCTATCGACCAAGTTGAAAACGTAGGTCCAGGGTTTTCTGTTACATACCTTCAATCACCATCTTATCTTAACATAGTGGGCTCAGTGTCGAGTCCCCTAGACTGGTGGTCACACAGCTAGATTTATTTTTTTAGGCAGTTACATCAGTACCATTAGAATTGTGTTTTTATTATCAATTTCTCTAAAATTCCGTTCACTCAACTGAAAATTCTTTCTAATCGACACACTTAGTATTAACTTTGGTTGACCTGAAATTTGTCTGGTTCAAGTTGATACTCTTGTTGATGTGAACTGCATATTGATTGTGAATATCTTTTTTCCTACAACTTCACACAATATTTTTATCCCTCACGGTTTTTACTGAATAAAATTATCATTGAATATTACATAATTGAAAATAATAGTTTTGAAAATTATCATAAAAACCAGTTGTCAGTAAATGAATGAATGAGGGGATCTATTGTCGTTATTAGTGAATGTGCGAGAATATAAGTTATGAATGAACCCGTAGTAACCTACTTTTATCACGAGAACACGATTGGTTTAATGAAAACAGTTATTATTATAACCAATTGTACCAGTAACTGTTTTATTGTGCTTTTGTTTAACTGTGCTAAAAAGCATCCATTATTCACACACTTTGATTGTGACTTCGCGCGAATTCGGTTACGCTTGGTAACCAAGCTTGTATCCTGGCACGATCTCGGTATTCTTTAGATACCACGAGGTCGCCAGCAAGTATATCTCGAGTTGGTCCATTAACTGCCTTCTGATATTTGGCTTCCGGGGGATTTTATAGATATCCTGGTACGCGTTCTTTTGTAGTGGTGTTCATAGTCAATTTCAACTCGACTCGACGCTACAAATCAATCAGGCATAAGATAACAGGCCTCTGATTTCGGCGCGAAATTCACTCATCCATTTGGTTAAAGAGAGTTTTGGCATTTCAGTTTATGTCAGCGATGAAAACTCTAATTCTAATTCTTACCCCCTAACCACTAACTGTAAATTCTAATTCTAATTCTTTATACTGGTGTATAGACCTCATTTGGTCCTAGTTATTAAGCGTACATCCTCGAGGTTAATTTAGTGTCGTTCGAAGGTCGTCCATAAATTACAGCCTCACCGATTTTCTGTAAACCTTTTAAATAGTTACGATGATTAACGATCATGCATGACACTATACAATCTCAATTAAGATTATATCGTCTATGTTTGATGATGTAGATTACACTGGTTTCTTTTAGATAATGAAATGAAACATTAATTTTACAATATGTTATTTTGAAAATTTAATCTACTTAGGTCGTCAGTTTTATACTCTAATGTTTTCTATGAGTTATCAAGAAAATTAAATTGATGAGAAACCAATGTGAATGCTACATTCTTATTGTCTTTCATAGAAAGTGAAAGTTCAGAATTCAGAACCTGTTTTGAAAATGATGTTGGGTTGGTAAAAGGGCTACTAGACCAGCTAATGACTCAAGATGTCTCTAGAGTTATAGTGGTATTGCTTCCTAACCACATGATCTTCGAAGCTGAGCGTATAATTACTGAGATTTACATTCAACATGTAACACTGGGAGATCAACAATAGTGAACGCGAGGATAGTTGGTCGAAACGACATTACTCGGTCGTGCAGCTATGGTCACTTTATGTAGCGTCTATATTTTGTATCGAGTTTATAACTATCTTCACGGCTCTATTCTTTAGAAATGCTAAACGTCATATTACTCGAAAAAACTGCAGTAATATTACTGTTAAAATCTTTCACAAGCAACTCTACACTATAAATCGAACATAAACTGGAGAGGTCATAAGTTTTTGTCCGTAAAGTCTTACTTCTTGTGGACCGCACAAAAATACGAGAAGCCGAAAATGATCTCAAATTATGGCTATATGCTTGCGAGTACTGCATACAAGTAGCTAACCCCTGCTTAAAAATAGACAATTATCTGTTGGGGGAAGTCCAAAGAACAGCAACTAAGTTCCCATATGATGTTCCACTGGCCAAACTAAATGTTTCCTTTGTCATATAGAAGAAACAGAGGTGAACTGACCACAATTTTTAAATTAGTTAGTGATATATCCTCACTTTTCTTGTCTTTCAAAACGGAGAATTTACAAGAACGCTCCTAAAATGTTCACAAGCCTAGAATAAATTACTTGTCAGCTGACTATCAGTATTCCCACTGAATCATCAACGAGTGAAATTCACTAACTCAACATATTACTGTAGCTCCATTCGTCAGCTCTTTCAAAGGACTGTCATTTCCAGGACTAACGCATGCCACCTAGCCACATACCCTTTCCAAACTGGAACTGAAATGCTAAAATTAACTTAGGTACTGACCAGCCAGTTATTTGTGCCTGTTCTTTAGGTTGTATGTTACTGCACATCAACCTTCACGAAGGAATTAAATAATATT